TCCCTCAGGGCTGCCCCAGGAAACACAGGCTCCCTGCAAATGGGCAGCCCTGAGGGAGGCCGGTTGGGGTTCTGCTGCCTCTGCAATGGCCTCAACTGGGGAGAAACAGGCCCCATGGCCACCCACCAGGAGACCCCACAGTGCCCACAGGAGCTGAGGAGGGGGAAATCCTTCCTGTGGCCAGCCCAGCCATTGGGGTCAGGGAAGGAGAGACCTTAGTTCAGCAGGAGTTTTGGGGAACTCCCGGAGGGGGCTTGGGACCCTAACAACCCCTTAGTGTCAACTGGCAAAGGGTTCCCTGGTCTGTAACAGCAATGCCTACCAGGCCTGACAAACTCACTGCACCTAACACATTGCTTCTCGGCTCTCTATGAGCTGTGGTGCAAACCTTTTATCTGCAGAGAGTGTTGTGTGGAGTGTCAAATGAAAGCTTATTGCACACTGGACATTGTAAGCACTGTGCGATGAACGTACAGTCGGCACGTAAGAAGTTATGTGTATCTACTACAATATGTTCTAAACTATGGAACTAGGCAGAGCTGACAAACAAGTTTTCTTCCAGACACAGTATATTTCTTCTCCTACCCCTGACGTAGATGATGCACTGTAAAGCCAACACAATGGGGACCCCATTTACGTGTAAAAGTCAACACAAAAAACAGGTTGACAGGGGGCTATGCAACAAACGGGAGTGTGGGAGCACTCCCTGGGATCAGCACCCCAGGAAGGGAACCACACGGGTCAGCCTGGCTTCGGGGGACAAAACAGTGAGTTTGGGGAAAGCTAAAGAGAAGCAAAAGGACATTTGAGCGTCCATTTGCTAAGGAAACCCCTTGAAGGGGGTGGGGAGTCATGAAACCCTGGATCTTGGTTGTGGTTGAAAACTAGCAGCTCTGTCAAAGGCTGTATCCATGGGAGAGAATCTACTCTATTAAACTGGAAAGGCCACCATGAGTGAGTGTGGGCCTGGGATTGTGGTTCATGTTTTGTTTTATCTGTGTACCCAGTTCTGCCTCCAATATTCTTACGACTCATCCGAGTCTTTGAATCTTTGTAAGTAAACGTATTCTTGTTTTATCATAAACATACCTCAGTGCTATGGTATTAGGCAGTGCGAATCCTCAGCTGAACCAAACCAGCTGGTGTGTGCACTGTTCCCTTTGGGGGACAGCGAGCCTAGTAATGCCAGCGAGTGCCCAGTAACAGGGGCGGGATATTACAGGGCTATGCTCTTCAAAGAGAGCTCGGGGATGGAGAGCACTGACTGTTAACCTACAAGCACAGTAGGACTAGCAAAGTCCTGAGAAGAGGGCGTGAGCAGCTGGAAGGCTGGTGGTGCCAGGGAGCTGACTTCCAGCTACCACAAGAAAGACTCCTTCATACTGGAGGCAACAGGGTGGCAAGAAAGCATCACAGGGCTGCTTGGACTTGTCCATGTGGGAGGATACTGAGTCTCTGCTTACCATAGGCGCCAACTTTCTCCAGCGCCGGTGGGTGTCCATGCCCCCCCCACCTGGCCCCGCCCCTGGCCCCGCCCTGACTCCACCCTTTCCCTGCCCCTATTGGATCCTTTCCCCAAATCCCTGCTCCGGCCCCGCCTCTTCCTCCAGCACGCCGCATTCCCCCTCCCCCCCTCCCTCCCTGCCCCGTAAATCAGCTGTTTCATGACGCAAGGGCTGGGAGGGAGGGGGGAGAAGGACGTGGCGGTGCGCGTTTGCAGAGGAGGTGGAGGCGGAGGTAAGCTGGAGCAGGGGGGCGGGGCAGGGAGCTACCGGTGGGTGCTGAGCACCCACCAATTTTTTTCTGTGGGTGCTCCAGCCCTGGAGCACCCATGGAGTCGGCGCCTATGCTGCTTACCCCTTTCCTCCCCCGACCCCAGGCAAGCCCAGCCCTGCATTGCCCCCCAGGCAAGCCTGGCCCTGCTTTCACCCCTCCCTCCCTGCAAGCCAAGTCCCATCCCTTCTCCCTCAGGTAAGCCCAGCCCTCCGTCCCCCAAGGGTTCTCCCTCACTCACAGGAGTTGATGATTCTCTGGAAGACCTCCTCACACGCCTGCCGCAGGTTGTTCTGGTTGTCAGACAGGTCATTGGCTGCACACTTGCTGGGGTCAACTTCACAGCTATCCTCCGACTCGTACAACTGAGCAATAGCCTCCCCTGCAACACACATGGAAGAGCCCAGACTGACACGGAGCCTGGGCGGGGTCCAGAGATGAGGTGCCAGGGCTGCGGCCGGACAGGACACAACGGGCATAGTACAATCAAGCTGGCCATTTGGAGACGCCCAAAGAATGTGCCCACTTGTGTGTGAGTATATGAGACTGTGCATGCACATGTGTGTACATACATGTACAAGTGGGCTCATGTGTGCATGTGTATATGTACAAGTATGTGTTTGCACATGTGTATGTGTGTGTGTTTGTACAAGTGTGTGTGTGTGCAAGTATGTGCATGAGTGGTGTATATGCACATACAAGAGTGCACATGTATGTATGCAAACATGTACAAGTGTGCATGTGTGGATGTGTACAAGGGTGTGCGTGTATGCACATGTACCTGGGTGTACATACACGAGTGTGTACGTGTGTTAATAGCTGCACTCTACTGCTGCCTGCTGCTAGGTGAGGTCTGGCCAAGAATGGCATTGGTTGCCCCTGCCCCATCTTGGGCACTGCGTGGCCAGAACCAGGACTCTCTGATCAGAGCTGAAAGGCCAACGCTCAGCCTGATGCAAATGCACTTGGCCATGGGGGCTGAGAGAGCAGGACGGGGACATTGCTGGCAGAAAGGAGAAAGCAAAGTGCTGCAAGGAACAGGCCCTGGAGGCCCATCTTGCTCCAAAGCCAGCATCCTCTCTCTGCACCACCCCCTGCAATGTGTATTGCCCCCCTGGGGCATTAGCCTGCCACTACAAACTCACCAGTGCATTAACTGGCCCATTACACCCCACCACGTGTTAGCCAAGTGACCAATTACACACACAAACACACACACACACCCAGTGGGCTAGCCGCCAACCCATTTCCCCACCAGTCCATTAGCCAAATGACCCATCTCTCTCTCTCTTTCTCTCTCTCTCACACACACACACACACATGTGCACCCATCAGCCCATAGGTCACTCACCACCAACTGTTACCAACCCCCCCAGTGCGTTTGCTGGCTGGCCCGTACCCAGTGTGTCCCAACAGGTACTGCCCCCCGACCAGCTTCATGTATTCGTCGATGGCCTTGGTTGCCAGTGTGTTCTCGCGGAAGATCAGTGCCTCTCTGTCGTCGAAGCGGTCCAGCTCCGCCACCCCCAGGTCGATGAGAAATGCCTATGGGGCCAGAGGAGGTGGGATCACTGGGATCCAGACTTTCCACCCCGGTCCCCATCCCTGGGCCCACGCAGCCCCATCCCTGCAGCACACACCCAGCCCAGGGTGCTGCAGCACCGCCAGGCTGGGTTTGGCTGTGGGGTGAGGGAGGGGGGGGCTGCTAATCACCATTTGCCCCTCCAGGCCCTGAGGAAAGCAGCCGCGGGCTGCGCAGCTGGGGAAGGACCCTAACTACCCTCTCCCAGGGACCTGTGAGCGACTCACCGCCCAGCACATGCCCCATCACAGTGCCACCCCCAGCCCCCTCCCCTCCCCCGGCCAGGCAGGACAGCCCTTCCTCTCCGGGCTGAGCCCCCCAGTTATACCCCAGAAGGTGATGCTGGGCAGCCCACCACCCACATCCTGGGGCAGCAGGGGGCCCGATTGGAATACTCGGCAGCGGTCCGGGGCTTCGGCAGCACTTCGGCGGCGGGGGGTCCGCTCCGGGTTTTTCGCGGCCCCGAAGGCCCCCCCGCCGCCGAAATGCCGCCGAAGACCCCCAGAGCGGGGCCCCCTTAGGCGCGGGCGTGGGGCCTGATTCTGGGGAATCAGGTGAATCGGCTTAAAGCCGGCCCTGCCCCCCCAGAGCCCTGCAGAACAGCTCCCTGCCCCCTGCAGCGGGTCGTGCCTCGGCTCCTGCCCCTAGCAGCACAGCAGGGCTCTCTCCCACATGGGGGCCGCGGAGCCGGCCCTACCTCAGGCTCTCCTGTACAGTTCAGATGTCCTGGGACTGAGAGCGCCCCCTGGTGGCTCAGCCATACCTTAGCTTTGCCCGTGCTCTGCAGCACATGCACCAGGGCGCTGGCAAGTTCTTCTTTGTGGCGCACAGCAATAGCAGGCTCCAGCCCGGCACACAGCTCTCGGTAGTGGAAGGTGATATACTCGGCGAACTCCTTGTAGCTCACGATGGGCAGCACCTGGATCTCCTGGTAGCGTCCACGCAGCCGCAGAGAAGGTGCCCGGCTGGGGGCAGCTCCACACAGAGGGTACCATTTCTCCAAGGGCTGGCGCGAGGCGGCCAGCTCCCCCAGTGGGATGGTCACGGTGCCCAGGGGGCTGGCCTCCCGCCGCCGCCCCTCTTCCTCCCGCAGCACGCTGATGTGCAGCTCCCGTGCTGCAGGCAGCGTGGCCAGCTCGAAGAGCTCGCCCCAGAAGAGGGCCCCGTCCGCACCCGCTGACTTGGCCGTAGTGCGGGCGTACAGGGCGCCATCCAGGTGCAGCTGGCAGAAGTAGCGCTTCTTGGGGGGCAGGTCTCGGGCCTCGTACACCCAGAGGCTAAGGGTGTTCTCCACACGCTCGCAGTTGTCCTGGGGGAACGACACAGCATGAGGGGTGTGGACACGCCTCGGCAATACATGCCAAGGGAGACCCCCCTGCTCACATGGAGGGGGAGCAGCTCGTGGGGAGGGAGAAAGCCGGGGTGCTGTGGGGCAGGGCAAGGGTGGGGGGGCGCTGAGGGGCCAGGTGATGTGAAGGGCAACTGGCAGAGGGTGAATTCCTTGTGCCCGGTGCAAATGGGAGTGGCTGCACTCCCCCACCCCAGCTGGTGAGTCGGGGGGGGGGACAGCCATTCCCCAGCTGACGTATCGGGGTGGGGGGGAACACAGCTACTTCCCAGCTCGCATGTTGGGGGGTGTAGATGGTATTTCAAGGACTGGGGGACATAGCCGTTCCACACCTGGCATTTCGGGAGGGCGCAGCCACTCCCCAGCTAACATTGGGGGGATAGCTGCTCCGCAACTGCCATTTTGGGGGGCATAGCCACTCCCCAGCTGGCGTTTCGGGGAGGGCGCAGCTGCTCCCCAGCTGACATTGCGGGGGGGATAGCCATTCCCCAGCTGGCATTTCTGGGGGGACATAGCTGTTCCCCAGCTAGTGTTTGGGGGGGCGCAGCCGCTCCCCAGCTGACATGGGGGGGATAACTGCTCCGCAGCTGGCGTTTTGGGGCCATCTCACCTTGTTGGGCTGCACGGTTCTGCGTAAGTTCTCAATCCACCGGTCCCGCTCAGCCACCGATGTGCAGCCAAAACAGCGGCTCCCCTCAGCATTGATTATCTGCGGGGTGAGGGGGAGGTCGTCAGTGGGGGGAGCACGGCTGCAGTAAAGCCGAGGGGACCTGGTGCGGGGTCATGCTGGGTCAGTGGCCAGCCTTGCCATGGGGGGAGGAGGGGACGAGAATCTGCTCGGGCTTGTCCTGTGCTTCCAGGACAGGGCTGGTGCTCCTAGGTTGGGGCGGGTGCCTTGGAGCTAGGACCTGTCCTGCTCCATGGGTGACCCCCATTCAATCCTTGCCCTTGGTGCCCCAGGGCAACAATGCGCTCTGGCCCTGGAGGGGCTGGTCGCTTGCACGGGGAGGCGCCCTGGGAGCATGGGGGAGGCCGGGAGACCCACCCCGAGTCCCTGGCCCAGCAGCACCGTTACCTAGAAGCAGAACTTCTCTCCCAGAATGCTGCTGTGCAGCGGGCGGATCACTACGTCCTCGCCACTCAGATCCAGCTCAGCTGCACTTGGTGCAGGCAGCAGGGACTCACGGGAGCCATGCCGGCTCGGCAGCCTGGGGGGGGGGAGAATGCGCCGGTCACGTCCCGCCCAGCCCCCCTGCCGGTCCCAACCCAGTCTCTGCCCACAGCAAGGGGGCCGAGTCCAGAGCCTCTCCTGGAGCGGTGATCAGCCTTTGCCCACACCCGCCCCCTCCCCGCTGGCGATACCAGCTTCCTGGTGCACAGAGCACTGGGGCGGCCTAGGGGCAGGGGGGTTCTGCTGCACAGGATCCTTCGGCACCACTGTACCCAGCTCCTCACTGTGGGGAGTTATTCCACCCATCTGCCCAGGCCCCAGCCTCTGGGGGGGCACACACTTGCAGCAGGGCCCCTGGGGGGACACGGGGATGGCCTGCTCTAGGCCTAGGAAGGGAGGAGGCTGCAGGGTGGGGGCACTTCCCAGGGGCATCCACACTTTCAGTCCTGTCTGGGGGGCAGGGCCGATGCAACCCATTAGGCGACCTAGGCAGTCGCCTAGGGCACTACTATTTGGGGGGCAGCGACCGCAGCGGTATTTCGGCGGCGGGACCTTCCGCCTAGGGTGGCAGAAAAGCTGGCGACGCTCCTGCTGGGGGGGAACCCCCAGCACCCTGCTCGCTGGGGGCTGCTGTTCTACTGAACCCTATACAGGTTGTTACATTGCCCTCACAAGTAGGGCATCTGATCATCCCCACTGGTCCCCTTGGAGGGGTGCCCACGGGCTTTGCTCAGAGGAGGCACGGTCCCCAAACTCCCCAGATCCTAGGGCCCTCCCCACAGCCTTGGCCGAGCAGGGGAAGATGGGGCTGAGGCTTCTTGCTCTCATGCCAGGGGCAGCGGTGGTGTACCTGTCGCCGTCCGTAAGGGGCGCTGTTGTGGAGTCGGGCTTGGATGCAGTCCGGCCCTTCCGTTCTCTTAGCCTCTTCCATATCAGCCCCTAGGATGAGGAATAGCCAACAGTAACAAGGCTCTCGTGCCACTCAGCCAGCGCTGAAACATAGCCACCTCGGGAGGGGGGGAGGGGAGAAGAGCTACCCCGATAGCTAGGGAAGGGGACCGGACAAGGGCTGTGAGCCCAGGACAATGCTGGGGGGCCAGAGAGGCAGGAAGGAGTCAACCAGACCAGCTGGGCACCTGGTAGTCTGCATGGCCGCTGGGCTCAAGGTGGAGGTCTCTGTGTGCTCCTACATAGCCCTATGGGCATGTGTGAGCGTCCTTGAGTGTCCCCAGGGAGATGTGGGATCTGTGTCCCTCTCTGGAGTTATGTCCCTGGGGTGTGACACCTGGGGCCTGTCCCCTCTCCCATTCCCAGCTCCCCGGGTCAGGGCAAAATTCTAGTCCTAGCTCAGCAGCTGGGATTTTCTTACCTTCACGTTACTGAACTGGGAGCTGGTTGACACGTCGTTCTCAGGGCCTCTTCCCGGGGCCCGGGGGCTGGGCGAGCTCTTCCCC